GGGGTGCTGAGTCTGAGGGGACTGACGCTGGAGACCCTAGTTCTGCGGAGTCCACTCCGCCTCCCCACCGCCACGACACGCGTCTCCAGGCTGCCCGTCGGCGTGAGCGTGAGGAGCAGGAGCGGTTGGAGAGGGAGCGGCAGGAGCTGCGGGTGCTGGACCTTCTGGAGCAGCAGCGGCAGCAGCAGCAGCAGCAGCAGCAGCCGCAGCCGCCGCCGCAGCCGCAGCAGCAGCAGCCGCAGCCGCAGCAGCAGCGGCCGCAGCCGCCACCGCAGCTTCCTCTGGAGCGGCGGTTGTTCCCACCTGTGAGTGGCCTGCGGGCCCTTGGCCTTTCCTCCTCTCCTCCTGTCCGCTCCCAGTCTCCTCCTGTGTTTGTTCCTCCGTTGCCTCCTCCTGACGACCGTCCGGCGGTCTGGTCTTCTCCTCCTCCCTCTGTCCGTCGCGACCTGATCACTCGTTGTCCTCCGCGTGCTCGTCACTCGTCCCCTGTTACTGACCTCCACACTGCCCTCCTTTGTTTGTCTCGTCGTCGTTCTCCTTCTCCTGTGTCCGTTCTCCCGTCTCCTCCTCCGTCCTCCCTACCAGCCCTTCCCACTCCTATCTCTGACTACTACCGCGTTGTTCGTCCTGTTGCCGCACGTGTCCTCGCCACTCTTGTCACCGACTCTCGTTTCCCTCCGTCGTCTGCCTCGGCTCTTACTGCCGCTGTCGCTGAGTTTGCTGCCGCCAGCCGCCTTGACTACGCCACCCGTGTGGTGCCAGCTCCTCCCTACCGTCCTCTGTCCGTCGGGGGTGGGTTTGCCCTTGGCTGTGACGTCCTAGAGGACAGAGAGTCTGAGCTGGAGTACTGGGCAGCCGCTTCTCCCTCTGTGTGTGCCATGCTGCTCTCCCCTGAGGGAGACCCCGACGCCCTTGACATACCGACTCCTCGCACTTACCGCGAGGCAGTGTCAGGGGCGTGGGCCTCTCAGTGGAAAGCGGCTATGGACTCAGAGTTGGCGTCTTGGAGATCCACAGGCACCTACGTCGACGCAGTTCCCCCTCCCAGGGCGAACGTAGTCGATGGCATGTGGCTCTTCAAGGTGAAGCGGCCGCCTGGAGCACCGCCGGTGTTCAAGGCGCGCTACGTGGCTAGGGGCTTCAGTCAGCGTGAGGGAGTTGACTTCTTCCAGACCTTCGCCCCGACCCCGAAGATGACTACTCTTCGGGTGTTACTCCACATAGCAGCGCAGCGAGACTACGAGCTGCACTCCCTCGACTTCTCCACTGCGTTCCTCCAGGGCCGACTACACGAGGAGATCTGGCTGCGCCGTCCTCCTGGCTTCACTGACACCTTCCCACCTGGGACCCAGTGGAGCCTGAGGCGACCAGTCTACGGTCTCCGCCAGTCGCCCCGTGAGTGGCACGACACTCTTCGCTCCACGCTTCGTGACCTTGGGTTCAGCCCGTCCTCCGCCGACCCGTCGCTGTTTGTTCGAGCGGGTTCTACTCCTTTCTTTATCCTTGTCTACGTCGACGACTTGGTGTTTGCTACAGCAGACAGGGCAGCCCTGGCTCAGGTGAAGTCCGAACTGCAGAAGAGACACAAGTGCACTGACCTGGGTGAGCTGCAGCGCTACCTTGGCCTGCAGATCACCCGGGACAGAGCCGCTCGCACCATCACACTGACGCAGTCACACATGGTGCAGCAGGTCCTTCGGCGGTTCGACTTCCAGTTCTCCACCACACAGCCCACTCCTCTTGCTGTTGACCACAGACTCACGTGCCCCTTTCCTGACGAGCCCTTTGAGTCCAGTGGACCCTACGCAGAGCTGGTGGGCTGCCTCATGTACCTGATGACTTGTACTCGACCGGACCTCGCCTTTCCACTCAGCATCCTTTCTCGCTTTGTTGCGACTGGGAGACACCGCCCTGTCCACTGGACAGCTGCTGTGAGGGTGGCGAAGTACCTGGCGACTACATCAGGCATGGGGCTTGTGCTTGGAGGGACTCAGCCAGTGGCGTTGACTGGTCACTGCGACTCTTCCTACGCTGACGACGTGGAGACTCAGCGTTCGACTCAGGGTTACTGCTTCAGTCTGGGAGCTGGTGCCGTGTCGTGGAGGTCTACACGGTCGTCGTCTGTGGCTACTTCCAGTGCAGAGGCAGAGATCTACGCTGGTGCCATGGCGGCACAGGAGCTTCGCTGGTTGACCTTCTTGCTCGCCGACCTTGGTGAGCGGCCTCGCTCTGCACCGACCTTGTACGCTGACAACAAGGCCATGATCCTCCTGTGTCGAGAGCCTCGACTGGAGAGCAGAGTGAAGCATATTGACGTGAGGTACTTCCACCTGCGAGAGTTGCAGCGACGCGGTCAGGCACGTTTGGACTTTGTGGCCTCACTGGCCAACACTGCCGACGTCTTCACCAAGGCCTTGGCGCCTGGTGACCACCACAGGTTCTGTGTGCAGTTGGGGCTTGTTGAGGTAGGCCCTCGGTTGCTGTAGACTTGCTGTTTGCTCTACTTGTTGTGCTTCTATATATACTAGTAAACTCTTGAACTGGCCTTGTGGCCACTTGCTTGTGCTCGGAGTGTGTGGTGACTCTGAGCGCCACCCTGAGCTTTGTTTTTTATGCTTGTTCTTGACTGGTCTTGTGACCCCTTGTTTCCGTTGGTTGTTTTGATGCCCCTCACTTAGCCTATGGGGGTGTGTCAAATGTTTATATATTCTATATATTGTTAGATAGGCTACAGTGAGTTGCCCTCTAAAGGGTACAACACTTTAGGTCGACATTTGTATCTCCTTGTCTCTCCTTACTCAAACATTACTCTCGACACTTGTCTCCTAGCCTATCTTAAGACTCTCATCTGTCATTTGTGCTCACAAATCCAAGGAGTAAGTATGATACATTATTTCAATGGGCATTTGTTCTATACATTACTCTTATTTGCAGTACGGTAGTACCAACCTTCAATGGGATTTTGTAGTGGCTAACCTTGCCACGCTTCACACCCTAAACTGCAGGCTTCTTTGACTAAGCAGAAGTGCACTTCACAGTGTAGTGTAGGCCAGGCCTATACTTGCTTCTCCCGTCTCTTCCTCGGCTTCTGGCCAACAGGCCAGCTGATAGTGATGGGGAAGAAAGGGATGTTCAAGAAAGTGTGATGCATGAGTGGCAGAGTGGGTAGAGGGGGGAAAGTTGGTAAAGGGGAAAAAATGGAATAGGGACAAAACGCACAACTGTGTATACACATGCATACTGTACAGAGAAGTGAGGATTTTGCGGATATAGTTTGTGTGAAAGTGAGTAAATGGCTGGGGGTGGGGAAAGGGCATGGGGAGGGGGCGAGAAGAGAAAGGGGGGAAGAGGGGGGGGAGGAAAGGGATGGGAGGAAGCAGCAAAATCAATAAGCCATACAGAAAGGTAAGCTCTTGGCTCTGCCTTTCCTTCACCCACCCTCTGCCTGTTTCATGCATTCAATGGCCGAATGAGGCACACCAGGAACCACTACCACCTTTTCATCGCTTCGCCTTCTGCTCTTGCACTTGCTCCTCTTCCCATAGCACTCCCTTTCAGCATGCCCTCCACATCGTCACTTTCAGTCCACTCAACATTCCGAGCGACCATGCTCACCATCCATACCTGCCTAAAGCACCACCTTTTCCAGGGAACGCCCACCTGTTTTCACACCGTGGGCGCTTTCATTTCCTGCTGCTGGCATGGCTGGGACGACTTGACCGACCATCCCCGTCCCCTTCTAACCGTCTTCTCTCGCTGCCTGCCGGTGTTTCTCCCACTTGGCGTCTTCACTAGATGCCTCCTGCTTGGCGTCTTCACTAGCTGCCTCCCCCTTGGTGTCTTCCCTCGCTGTCCCCCACTTGGCGTCTTTTCAAGCCGCTTCCCGTTTGGCACCTTGTCTCGCCGCCTTCTAAACGGATTGCTTGCGAGCCGCTTCTCCCACATGATGCGGGCCTCGTCTCCCCTCGCGTGCTTCTCTGCAATGGCAGCCACTCGCTCCGCCTCATTGGGCCACTTCTGGACGAATCAAAAGGCAGAAAGGGGAATGAGCCCAGCCAGTGAGTCGAAGAAGGTAAGCTGCATGTATTCAGAATAATCAATGACAGCCACTCGCTCCCCCTCGTTGGGCCAATTCTGGATAGATTGAAGGGCAGCAACGGGAACAAGGTGGGACCGTGAATGGAAGCAAGGTTACAGCGAGCATCAGGGCAGCCAATGGCAGCCACTCGCTCCGCCTCATTGGGCCATTTCTGGACGAATAGAAGGCAGCAAAGGGAACAAGCCAGGGCAGTGAGTGGGAGCAGGCTTGTGGCGTGTAATCAGAATAGTCAATGGCAGCAATTCGCTCCGCATCATTGGGCCAATTCTGGACAGATTCAAATCAGCAACAGGAACCAGCCAGGATGGTGCGTAGAAGCAGGGTTGCAGCATGTAATCAGAACAGCCAACGGCAGCCACTCGCTCCGCCTCCTTGGGCCATATTTGGATGAATGGAGGGCAGCAACGGGAACAAGCCAGGACAGTGAGTGAAAGCAGGGTTGCAAGAATTAATCAAGACAGCCAAGGGCAACCACTCGATCCGTCTCATTGGGCCATTTCTGGACGAATGGAGGGCAGCAACGGGGACGAGCCAAGACAGTGAGCGGACAGTCAGTGAAAGAGGCAGCAATGTGATCGAGGGCAGGGTTGTGGCATCCAATCAGGACAGTCTGGCAGCAGCAACTTACTTTGTCTGATTGGGCCATTTCTTGTCACGTGGAAATGGAAAGAAAGAGCTGGGCGAGAGGCAGGTTGGGATAATCATAAAGCGACTGGCCATCTGAGGTGCTGCTTGCTTTTGAGGCGCCTTAAACGGTGTTGCTGGAGAGCAGCCCACTGAAATATGCATGTTTTTCCCTACGGGTCTTCGCTCATAGTGTAAAAGCAGCAATGCTGGAGACCAGCTCATTCAAATATGCATGTCTTCCCCTACCGTACCGACCTCCTACTCCCGAATTTACCTGCCGAAATGTTTTATGCCTGTACAGTACTCTCCCCTTTACAAGAAGCTGCGTCATTGGGGCCAGTGCATGTAGACCAGAGCTCCAAATAACCTCCATCTGAAAGAAAATTTGCACGAATCAGAGCACCATTGGCATTAGAGTAGCGGGGTGGACAATGGGCTGTGGTAAGCATTTTCCGTTATGACAAAGCACGGGGAATAAAAAAGTCAACTGCAAGTTGCCTTGCCAGTATTAAAAGGCGGAAGCATGTGCTTACAGTGAAAGTGTGTTGCTGCTTCTTCACACCGTAGCTCTCACTGACCACTCTCCCTGCCACCAACCGAAACTCTCCATGCATTGACTTCTTCTCGTGCCTGCATTTGTCATCAATTGCCATCAGCTGCTATCATTGGCCATCAATTGTGGCCCATGCAGGCACAGAGAAGTCATGAGTAGCAATGAAGATGAAGTAGCAGACAGAGCAGTCATAAGTGAGAAAAATGAGACGATGAGAGGAGATGATACGACGCAGAAAAAGAGGCGAGACTTGTGGTCAACATTGAGACAAACCTGAGACCGAGTTCGAGTTGCGACCGACCTTGAGACCGACCTTGAAACCGACCTTGGGACCGACCTTGAGACCGGCCTTGAGACCGACCTTGAGACCGACGAGACCGACTGTGTGGATATTCGTTGATTGAAGAGAACGACGTCGTTTCTGCAGACGTCACCTGTGGAATTACCATGTCGAAACGGAAAAACGGGAGTTAGAACTTCTGTAAGACTTTAGGATGATGGTGCCAAGGGTTGTGAATAATAGCACGTGTTCAGCGTACCATGAATGAAGGAGTTATCTGGTATATGGACCAGGTTTTAAGAGCATAGAAGAAACCAATATGCACACACACACGCAAACACACACACACACACGCACGCACGCACGTACACACACACACGCACGCGCGCACGCGCGCGCACATACACACACACACACACACACACACACGCACACACACACACACACACACGCACACACACAGCGCGCGCGCGCACACACACACACACACACGCACACACACACACACACACACACGCGCACACACACACAAACACACACACACGCACGCACGCACGTACACACACGCACACGCGCGCGCGCGTGCGCACACACACACACGCACACACACACACACGCAAACATACACACACACACGCACGCACGCACGTACACACACACACACGCGCGCGCGCGTGTGCACACACACACACACGCATCCTCCCCTCTCTCTGTCTCCCTCCCGCCTCTCTCTCCATCCTCCCCTGTCTCTCTCCATGCTTTACTCTCTCCCTCACTCTCCTGTCTCTTTCCATCCTCCCGTCCCTCTTTCCATCCTTTCCTCTCTCCATGCTCCCCTCTATCATCAGAACTACAGCGGTCACAAGTACGAGCACGTGCCAACTCACGATTTTGTGCAGGCGTTCGAGCAGGAGCACAGCGGTATGCATGGGTGATGGCGTTATGATATGGTGTAAATGGGGAGTGACATGTGACATGGTGACAGGGTCGCTTGATGGATGCAGTGCCTTTGTAGCCCACCTGCTAGCACACAGCCCCATGACACACGAGCATGCATGCAAGTGAGGATCTTACATCCCTCTCCTTTTCCTTGGCTTTTCAACCCAATGTCCCCCACCTCCCTCCTCCCATTTCAACTATTTCCCTTACCCGACTTTCCTATTCCAGCTTTTTTCCCCTAACTTTCCGTTTCCAACTTCCGCTCACTTCCACTCCCAACTTCGGCTCCCCACCCCCCGTGCCCATAATATCATATGCTCATCGTGCTATCATATGCTCATCGTGCATGCTTGCCGCTACAGTGACGTGGCAGTCTATTGACCAATCAGTGCAGAGAATGCTGCGGGAGCTCCTGGCTGCTGCTGTTACTGTCCATCCCGAGATGCAACCAGATGACGACACCTGTCGAGCAATCTACGGTGTGGATGTGATGCTGGATGATCACTTCCAACCCAAGCTTCTGGAGGTTAGTTGTGCAGTTGTCCCTTTACTCATTCCCTACGATTGATTGTCTTCCTGCCCCACATTTTGATGTTTGATCATAGTCCTGTAATCCCAAAATCACAGATTGTGCCTATGTGATGTATACATGCGCCTATTTACAGGTAACATACTGCCCGGACTGCACGCGTGCTGTGACTTACGACATGAAGAGGATTCTCCCAAGACCTACTGGCGCCGGCTCAGATGGCAAAGGAGAAGTGGAAGATGAATCCGCGTGGCTGCGACCAAAGAGCTTTTTCAACGATTTGTTTGGGTGCCTCTTCCTTGGAGAAACCCGCAATGTGAGGCGTCTCTGATGTGAACCCTTCCATCTAGTGATATCTTATAAAAATCCTTAAATGGTTGATGGGGGAAAAAACAGAACATTTCCCTCTTTCAGCACTGGTAGTAGGTAGTGTTGCTTGCCACGTCAGGAATGTTTTTTCAGCAATCATATTTACAAGAAAAGGGCAACAATTAAGCACCATGCCTCGAGCAGGTGAAAGAAACAATAAGCACCATCAGATTTCAACATCCTTACCCATCCACCTATCTCTCCTCCACACCATGATCCTCCAAACCACCACCATCACCACTACCCCCACTACCCCCGACATCACCTCTCCCAATCCTATTCCCCACCTCCCTCATCCCATCATGGCATTCACAGCAACCCCATCTGACCCCTAATCTGCACCCCTCTCGCCGACACTCTCCCTAGTCACCCTCACACCCCCTTACTATCCATCCTTCGCTGCCTCCTCTTTCAACCTCCTCCAGCTCAACCCACTTTCTAATCCATCCTCTCTTCCTCTTCCTCAGCCATCCTCCTCTCCCCTTCATCAGCCTTCCTCCTCTCCTCGTCCACAGCCCTTCCCTGGAGGCCCACTCAAAGCCCTGGAGGTGAAGCAGCTCCTCCCTCCTCTGCCTGAGATGCGCCTGAGTAGCGACGGTTGGCAAAAGCAGTCAGTTCGTTCCATTCCATATCCACCAACTCTCCCACCCCGCCCCGGAGCCTCTTCAAAGCGCTCCTGTTCTCTCCCGCCACCATGTTTTCAAACCTGCGCTTCCCAGCACTCTTCTTCTTGCCAACACTCTTCCGCAGCCCCGTCTCATGTTGCCCAGTCAAAGCCCTGGAGGTGAAGCAGCTCCTCCCTCCTCTGCCTGAGATCCGCCCGAGTAGCGACGGTTGACGAAGGCAGTCAGTTCGTTCCATTCCATATCCACCATCTCTCCCACCCCGCCCTGGAGCCTCTTCGAAGCGCTCCGCTTCTCTCCTGCCACCACAATACCCACGCTTTCCGACTTGCGCTTGCCAGCTCTCCTGTTCTTACCAGTGCTCTTCTCCCCTGCTGCATCAGCATCACCACCCCCCACTCCACCACCAGCCTCCACAACCCTATCACCCCCTCTCACGCCCATCCCTCGTTCCTCTCCCCCCCCACCACCACCCCTTCTGCGCTTCCGCTTCCACCCCATTTCCCCAACGCAGGCATCAACATCCGCCCGGCTCAAGCCCCGGTTATTGAGACATCTCAAACGTCCCCCGTTCGAGTCCTGGTTCAAGTCCTGGTTCAAGTCCCGGTTCAAGTCCCGGTTCAAGTCCTGGTGCAAGTCCTGGGTCAAGCCCTGAACCAAGCCTCGGTTAGCCAGCAGCTGTTCCGTGAGCACACTGAGAGGCGTCATGAGGCCTTGGACCATCATGAGCCCCACCTCATACACAAGATGCTGCATTGCTGCTGGCATTGCCTTCTCCCTGCGCGCTGCTGTCCGTTGCTGATTGCCCCGGTCGTTGAAGGTGCCACGTGCCGGCAAAAGGAAGGAGGACAACGGGGTTTTCTTGCCACTGCGCTTCTTGCCGCGACGTTTACCTGCCTTGGCCTTGTTGGTTCGCCCTATGTCGAGCTGATTCGCTCCAGCCTCCTCTGCTCCTCCCTCCTCTTCCTCTTCTTCCTCCTCCAGCACCACCACCTCCTCCTCCTCCTCCTCCTCCTCCTCCTCCTCCTCCTCCTCCTCCTCTTCCTCTTCCTCTTCCTCTTCCTCTTCCTCTTCCTCTTCCTCTTCCTCTTCCTCCACCACCACCACCACCTCCTCCTCTTCCTCCTCTTCCTCCACAACCACCACCTCCTCCTCCTCCTCCTCCTCCTCCTCCTCCTCCTCCTCCTCCTCCTCCTCCTCCTCCTCCTCCTCTCGGTATTCATCTTCCTCGTCCATTTCCTCCTCTTCATCCTCCTCTTCTTCCTCTTCAGACATTGTCCCCGCACCTGAATCCGGATACACAGAGCGCGAACCTTGCCCCAGGGCTACGGAAACCGTGATGCTTACACGTGTACTCTTGCCAAAAAGAAGAAAAACGTGATATGCCCCAGTGGTTTGCTCGCCGCTGGAGCCGTGCTGCTGGAGCTGGTGGTGCTACGGGCGCTGGAGGTCCAGCTGCTGCTGGAGCTGCTGGGGGTTCTGGAGCCACTGGTCCCGGAGGTGCTCACACTGGAGGTACTGGAGCTGCTGGGGCTGGAGCTGCTGGAGGTGCTGGAGCTGGCGGTACTACTGGAGGTGCTGGCCCTGGCGCTGCTGGGGCTGCTGGGGCTATTGGTGGTCCTGCTGGAGCTGGAGCTGCTGGAGGTGCTGGAGCTGGAGGTGCTGGAGCTGGAGGTGCTGCTGGAGCCGGTGCTCCTGGGGGTGCTGGAGTTGGCGCTACTGGAGCTGCTGGAGGTGCTGCTGGAGCTGTTGGTGCTGCAGGAGTTGGAGCTGACGCTGGGGGTGCTGGTGCTGTCCCTGCTGGTTCTGGAGGCGCTGCGCGGCCGCGGACGTACTTCGTTCCGCTCCTTAAGCAGGTTCTTGGTCTCCCGCCTTCTACTGGTCCTGCTCCTTCCGTAGAGTGTCCACAGCCTGTCCAGTCCGAGTCACAGTTACAGCCGGCCTCACCACTGCCTGGTCCTTCTCCTTACTTTGGTCCGACAGGAGGTCTTACGGAGCGTCGTGAGCCTGAGTCTCGTCCTGCGTCGCCTGTTCGCGTTGTTCGCACTGGTAGTCGTGCTCCGCGTGAGCGTCCTCCTCCTGTCCCTGGCACGCACCAGATGGCTCTGCGTCCTTCCACTGCTCCACAGCGTGTCCCTCTGCCGTCTCCTCCTGCGTCCTCTCTTCCTGCCCTTGCTGACCCGGTGTCTGACTCCCTTCGTGCTGCTAGTCCTACTGTCACGCGTCTCCTGGCCACTGTTGTCACTGACCCTTCCTTTGAGTCCACTGCTGCGTCTGCCTTAGTTGCTGAGCTTGTCGACTTTGCTGCTCACTGTCGTCTAGACTACGCCGCTAGTCTTGTTGCTGAGTTTGAGTCTGTCTGTCCTCCGTCCGTCGGGGGTGAGTGTGCTCTTAGCACGGACGTCCTTGAGGACAGGCAGGAGGAGTTCCAGTGTTTTGCTGCTGCTTTACCTCATCTCGTGTCCATGCTGCTTGCCCCTGAGGGAGACCCGGATGCACCAGACATCCCGACCCAGCGCTCTTACGCAGAGGCGATAGAGGGTCCCTACTCCTCTCAGTGGCAGACAGCCATGGACGCAGAGATGGCTTCCTGGAAGTCCACAGGCACCTACGTCGACGAGGTTCCCCCACCTGGGGCGAACATTGTCGATGGCATGTGGATTTTCAGGGTGAAGCGGCCGCCGGGTTCTCCGC